TTTACAAAAAAACGTAGAAAATATTTTTTTAACTTTTGGTACATATAGGAATTGAATATGATTACTAAAAGAATAAGTCCAATATGTTACATATTATCATGTGACTTATTAAAATTGTTACTACTTTTAGAATTATTGATTGGTTTTCATTGAGAAGATACGACACTTTATTGATTAATAATACCTTTAATTAGTTTCATCCAATGACATTTATATATAGGGTTTTGCATGTTGAAAAGAAAAAAAAATAGAATTTGGTAATTGGGATTTTGATTTAAATTTAAGAAGAGAAAAAATTCTTAAATTAAGATTATATTAAAAGAATATGATAGTAAGAAAGAAAGAAAGAAAGAAAGAAAAGATTTAATTTACTTTGATATACAAATTTTATGGAATGCAATAAAATAATTTGTTAGAATAAAGCATAGATTTAATTATTTATTCAAATTAACATCAAATAATCTTTTTTAAATGATTAAAAAATGGATTATAAAATATCTTGAAGTTAGATTAACAACTATGTAATAAGCAAGGTGGGGCAAAACCTAGATTAATATAGGTAGTGTAAGAATATATGCCAAAGTTAGTAATTGGAAAGATTGGTATTAGTGGTAGTGGATTATGGTGGCAATTAATTACAATGGTGTTGAATTGGTCCTAAGATTGATTCTGACCACATATCTATAAGACTATTTAGACTAATATAATGTATTAGTTCTTCTCTATATTACTTGATTGTCTCTCCCTAATCCTTTGCTGTAGTCTTCTTTTAGCTTTGGCCTTAAGTTTTAATCTTAACTAGAGGACACAAACAAGACTAGACATATAAAATATTTCTTATAATTGTTCAAAACTTGTTGATAGATGAAGAAGAAAAATTGCCACCGTATTAATTGAGTACATTTGTTTGACTTGGCCAGATTGAAAGGTCATAATAAAACTAAGTTAAGAAAATAAAATAAAAAACTTAATAAAAGTATGATAAGAAATTTGACATTTGCAAATGCATATATAAAGCAAAATTTGCAAATCAAAATTAAAAGGCATAAAAATATTTTTATAAATAAAATAAAATAAAATTTTAAAATATATTAATATATTTAGAGATAATATATATATATATATATTAAATTTTGATATTTATTAAAAATATTTTATATTTTTGATATTATAATTTATGAAATTCTTTACCTAAATATTATCATGTTTTTTATGACTAATAATAAAACAAGGATAAGTTAATTTATATATATATATATATATATATATATATATATATATTTAATAAAAATTATATAAAACCTAAACTTATAAACGATGAGGTTATATTTATAGATAGTATTACACCCACTCAACAACATTATATCTATGCATGAATGATATTTTGGCACTTTATTCAGCTTTGTTGATATTATTTTTATCATCTTTTGTGATTAATGACAAAAACTTGTTATCACACTTGACCAAAGTTTCATTAAATGCAATATAATTTGTCTTGATAAAGATAAGTTTTTGCACCTTTTTGACACTTAGAAAATTTTGTAACTTGGAGTGGATGAAACCAAATGTCAAAAAGTTTCTTTTAAAAGTTGCATTGGATATAGCCATCCTAAACAACTTAATCACAATCTCTTAAAGTAACAACCATACAACTCTATTAGCCTACTAATAATGCAGTAGAGTCTTACATCTATTAATTAATAATTTAAACTAGAAGAAATTGTTTAATTTCTTGAAAAAAATGACATAATTTGTGAATTGCATATAGAGATCTTCTTGTTAAATATTTTTAATATGTATAGTATCATTGATAGGAATATTAATTAAAACACAATTAAATTATTTTTTATTTTCTTTATAAAGATCTTCTCCAATGAATTGGAAGTCTACTAAGAAAGACAAGCAATGAATCTTATTATACATAAACTAAAATCTTTGACAAGTTGTGTGTACTAAAGAATGTAGTTTGATTACAAAAGTTCATTCTTTGAACAATTTGCCAAATTCTTGTGGCAATAAATATAAAATAAAAAAATAAGAATCAAATTAATAGTCAAAAATAAATTCAGAAATTAATCAAACAATTTTGAGACTCTTGATAATATGAGCTTTAAAGTCTTTGTCAAAAATTGTATTCTATATCTTGGTTTGTTCAACCTTTTATATTGAGTTACCAGTTATGAAGTTGTATTCACATACAAGGCCACTGAAAATGGATTTAGAATTAAGAATTCAATCCATGTAATTTTATAAAGATTTCTATCCAATCAATGTTGGTTTTCAAGTGTACAAAGGTTGTAAAGATACTATAACTCCATCAACTCAAATCTCATGCAATGGTGGATATTAAAAAAATTAACAACATCTTTAACATTAAAAACAAACTATCAAAGATACTTAAATGGATATCTAAGAAATAACTTGTTTTTGATTTCTTGGCTATGTAGAATTGGCCACTATAAAGATGTCTTCGACTTATGAATAGAGACTATAGGATGTACATCCTTAAAGGAACAACAAATGAAACTTAACAAACAATATTTTTCATGCCTTCTTGTTTGCAAATGTATTGTCTTTTAATACTCTAAGAAATTTAATATCATTGATTTTGATGATATGTTCAATATCCCTCACAATCCATTTGGAATTATGGCCTTGTTGTCTTATTGAACAAACTCTAGAAAGATATTGTGGTATAATATGACTATTATCTGAAAAAAAATAATATATACATCACATTATAGAAGAACTTAATTATAGAATATAGTTGCAAAATATAAGTAGAGGATAGGAAGGTATTAAAAACATTTAATGTTAATTCTATCTATTTATTAAAAGGCTTCTATTTTATTTATAGGACCATTAACAAGACAAAATAAAATAGATTTATAAAAGAAATATTATAAATAGTAGCTTCTAACAAAAATTACTTAGAAAAACTAAATATAAATACCCTAATTGTGAATTTGGATTAAAATCAGGCTTTGGCACAAAACCACTTACTTACAACAATTCCAACGATAGATTTTTATTTATTAAAGAACAAGGTTATGTAGCAAAATTAACAAGGGTTGTATAAGTGTTGATTTAAAGTGATTTGGATTGATATTGAATTTGCAAGAGCTTTCCAAAGTCAAATTTGTTTTAGATAATTTGATATGTTGAGAGATAAACAAGGATTTATATTTTTGAGTATTTTTTTAGCATTGTAGCAAATTGACAAATATACATTTGGAATTATAAATCTACTTATTGTAAACTTATTTTGTAAATTTAAGTTGAATTGAACAATCAGATCAAAGGTTATTAAAATTTAATTGGATTAGAGACTTGGAATTTGGATTTCAAGGATTAGTGAAGATTTCTTTGATCTTGAACAATTTTTAAGTTGGATTGAAGCAATTTTTTGCAAGTAGACAATTAACGTAGTTTGCAACATTTTTGCCAATTTTCAAGGCAAGTAAATGGTTCAATATGGATATATTGTTGATGATAGATTGACATTAATGTTGGAGAAGGAAGATGGTTAATATCCAAGCAAATTAGAAACTTTTTATCCTAATTAGCAATTTGATTTTCTTTGAATTTTCTATGCTTGTTGCTAACTTTTAGATTGGATTGTATGTAAATTTTTACGTAAGATCAATGGTTTAATAAATAGTTTTTGAATTTTAAGACTACTATAGAAATTGGTTAAGATTGGTTAAGATTTGATTAAGGGTTGTTAGAATTTTATTAGGATTAATTAAGATTTATTTAAGATTTATTGAAGTTTTCATTAAGATTTTAGGACTTCCTTTTTAAGGATTTTTTTTAATGATTTTATAGGGTTTAAATAAGATTTATTAAAATTGTCAAGATTCAATTGAGATTTGTTTAGGATTTTATTAGGGTTGTTGGGTTCTTTGTTTATTGCAAATTACAAGTTTACCTTCCATGGCCAAGTTCTTGGTGCATTCTCAAGCAAAATGACACGTAATACAAGAAATCTCATTTGTATTGGAACTATTGCCATATAATTAACAATCATCTTATTACAAATATTGAACTAGGCATAAAAAAAACAAAGTAAACTACAAAAGATGTTGATATTAAAATCTGATTACTTGCCTTTGATATACTTGTAATATAGTTCAAGAAGCACATTGCTAATCTTCTTATCATTGAAAAGGTCATTGAGAAGTATGAGATTTTGTTTTTTGGAGCTTTGAGGTTTTTTTTTTTTTTTTTGCAATTCTTTGGAATGCAATTCCTATTACAAAGTAATGTATTATTAAATGTTTTTGAAACATTTCATTAATAATTGTCGTGATCTTTGGTAGTACAAACTTACTATTTAAAGTTTTCTTTTTAGACAACAAAGAAGCTTTGGAAGAATTAGAAGCTAAAGCTTGCTTCATCTTGTTGTGGTAAAGATACCTTTAAGGGAGATATTAAATACCAGATTTTGTAAGGCTATGTATTATAACCTAAAAAGATTTGCACTTGTTGAGATATTTGGTTTTTAAATTATATTTTAAAACCTTATTAAACCTTCACCAAAAAAAACTCCTACACCTACAACCTTATAAAAAATTAGATTTTTGATTAATTAGAAAAAAGCATGATGAACATCAAAATATTTTAAGTTGTAAATAAGTGAAAATAGACATTTTGTATAATAAAATAAAATCATCAAAATATTCAAATTAATATATTTTTAAATTTTTTTAATATACAATCTTCTAAATTTTGTTTTAAATTTTAGACTTTTAAAAATACTTTGAATAGATACATTAAAACACATTAAGAAAAAAATTACTTCATGTAAATTCTCAAATAAATTCCATATGCAATTCTTGGCCACTATTTATTTTAGTACCATGAATAAGAATAACAAATAACAGTGATAATAATAATATGTTTATTCAAGATTTCAATTGAAAAATATATACATAAAATTCCATCACATCCATTGCTTGCTAACTTACGTCCATTTCAAATTCCAGACACCTATCCAATTTTCAAACACCATTCTATTCTTCCACAAGCATTTATTAACAGAAACATTTTACAACATCCACCTTCTAGGTACCACCAAAGAAGGAGATTTGGATAACTAGTATGAGTTCATAAACTTGTAAGAATTGAGTTTATGCATACACATGGGACACAATATCCTTCACCTTCCTCAGCAGAATAGGAAAACCAACACATCTGACAAACTACATGTTGGCTCACAGCACCTGATAACAGGAGATCGTCTTACAAGCGTAGTAAGGCCAGAACATGCATGGATATCTCACTTGTATCGGTTAAATCCAAACGAGGACTTCCTCTCTCACAATCTGAAGCATATCATCTTTCGTCTTCAGAAGTTGTTCTCAAGGAATATTTCCAGTGGTCCTCCATCTAAGCCCTTGCAGCAAGTCACTGAAGGGTACTCAGACTCTGGAATGTTCTGCATGTGCCAATACACAGGATTCGCAACCTGCTGTTCCTGCACCCAGAAAGCTTTGAGATGTGTTCCTGGTTGTTTCACTTGCTACGAAAGTGATGTGTACCTTTAGGATGAGGGGGGATTTTAGAAGAGAAAATATGTCTGGCTTAGAGGCAGAGACTCGGCAGGCTCGCACACTAGCGGCACTTTGTCAGCTGTGACGTGGTACGTCTCGGGATCCACTTCAATGACGGGCGTTGCGTTGTTGAGCTTCATGTCGGCCTTGCCAATGTTGCGAACATTTTGCACAGCTTCCACCCGTTTCTGCAGTCCGTAGGCAGCTTTCACGCCCGCCTCGAGTGCAGCCTACAACCCAATTGAGCATTTTATTAATACTCCTGCGACCTTTGGTTGATTGAAGTCTTGTACACAAGACTGTTAACATGGAAGTAACAACTTAACAATGTCATTACAAGACAGTATCTTAGCAATTAGACGCTGTCTAAATAATATTACCTTGCTGACGAAAGCGATCGACTGGGAACTGCACGCCTTTCCATGAGCTCCAAACATTGGTCGCATGAGTTTCTGCTTAACCGCAACCATACGTGTCGCGTGTGAGAACAACCAACACTGGGACGTCTTAGTTGTAGACAGTAATGATAATCCCTTGTGGTGCCCCAATGGATTCTTGTAGAATCCACATTAGGCCTTTACAAGTATTACTAATGGTTGTAAAGACTCAGATGGGACAGATTTAGGAATATCATGAAAGCATGAATTCAGTGTTGGTTAACTTTGAAGAGGGAGCTCGAGAAGGCTTATTAGCCTCAAAATATAAACCAAATCGATTCTAATGCTGAAAGCAAGCTAGTGTTCAGAGATAAGTTGGAAGTGTCTCATAACCGCAACGCACCGGTTCAGGAGTAGGGATGCTGGCATTGGCATCTCCCATCTGTGCCCACGCGATAAAGCCACACTTGAGAACCATCTCAGGCTTCGCTCCAAAATGTCCTGGTTGCCAAAGCACTAAATCGGCGAGCTTACCTACCTGCGACATACAAGATAGCATCAGGAACACGAACGACGAAACAATTTCAAAGATTCGTCTTAAGTTGAATAGACCATTCACAAGCTCCATATGGTAATGAGATAGATCCAGTAGGTGTGGATGATCCCTGAGATCTAATGAACGCAGTGACATCAAGAAACAAGATACGTGTGGTGAGCTTACTTCGACAGAGCCAATGAGGTGAGATACACCGTGAGCAATGGCTGGGTTGATGGTATATTTAGCAATATATCGTCGAATACGCAAATTATCATTATCATCATTCCTCGTTTCAGGAAGCTGCTTGCGCTGCGATTTCATCTTGTGCGCTGTTTGCCAAGTGCGTGTTATGACCTACGGAAAGCCCCTCTCAAAAGATTAATTCATTGCGTCAAGCATCCAGTCATGGGAGATCAAATCTCAAGCTTGAGTTATAAGATCTTTAAAAAGACACAATTAGATGCAAGTAGAAGTAAACAAATTTTATGAGAACCTCGCCAATTCGACCCATCGCTTGAGAATCAGAGGACATCATGCTGATGGCCCCCATATCATGAAGAATGTCTTCAGCAGCTATCGTCTCGCCCCGAATCCGAGATTCTGCAAAAGAAACGTCCTCTGAAATATTCTTGTTGAGATGATGACACACCATCTGCACAGGAGCACCAAAGATCAGGACGCCATTATGGAAATTCTAAACCATGTTTCCCAATAACATCTCAATCATCCCAAACTTATGTTTATCTAAAAGAAATATTTCTCCATCATCAAAAAAGACCAGCTGCTAATGGCTATTTTACTCCCTTTGAAGCAGTTCATCTAGTAGAGAAAAGAAATGCTGGCCACATGCTAGGATGAACATTCTCTCAAGATTGCAAAACAGTCCAGCTCAGTACCAGCATGTCAAGATGTTCATCTATGGTATTGACTGTGTAAGGCCTTGTGGGATTTGTTGAAGATGGCAAAATATTAGGCAACCCACAGACTTTAATGATGTCAGGTGCATGACCACCACCCGCACCCTCACTGCCATCCCCCAAAAAGCCTCACAATCAGTATGCAATTTCCAAATGTTCTTCCTGTAAGTAAGGAAAGGCTGTCCGTTCTGCTACATCAAATCTTATGATGTAGGTGAGCTTTTCTGGTACAACTAATGCTTTTGCGTCCAACCATAAGAAGTGAATGTCGTATGCGTTCCCTACCTGTGGTAAGTATGAATAGTCCGGCCTCCAAATGCTTCAATCGACTGCTCTACACACCCTGACTCATTCAGCGTGTCTGTATGGATTGTCACCTGCAGGAATATACAACAGTAAAATCCTTGAGAAAGCGTGGGAACATAGTGTAATACGATAGTAAAATCGCAGGAAGCGAAAATTAAAGACCTACAAAAAAATCAATATTTTTCTTGCGGACATCTAAGGAGTATCCTACCGCCTTCATCCAGAGGCAAAAACCAAGAAAGATGCACCAATAACGATTAGAACAGGTGGAGACCATTACCTGTATGTCATATTCATCGGCGACATTAAGACAGTTCCTGATTGCAGCCGGAGTAGTTCCCCAATCTTCATGCAGTTTTAATCCTATAGCACCAGCTCGTATTATTTCTGGCAGTCCTTCTACATCAGACGTATTTCCCTGCAGCAACAAACAGGAGCAATAGCTTCAAGTACTTGGTTTGCAGTAACCATAAACACATATACATCCACTAATTTTCCTCTCTCTAAATTACACCAAATTGAGGACCTCAAAATCATGAAAACCGTTCTATATTGTGTTCACCAGAGAGCAAACAAAAAAACTGAATCTCAAAGAAGAGATGATCCCTTCCAGTCAATATTCCCCTTGGAATCTATAGCTGTTAATGAAGGCAACTTCAAAAGCATATACCTTGCCAGTAAAGCCAATATTAAGGGGAATCTCGTCTGTAGCCTGCAGCATGAGACGCATATGCTCTGAAGATGGAGTGCAAGTTGTAGCACAAGTGCCATGGGCTGGCCCTGTACCGCCTCCTATCAACGTTGTCAACCCTGACGATAGATTGTGTTTTTAGTGGTGTATGAATCAGTGGCGTGATGACTTCTCTACAACCCAATACTCGTCACAACCTAGATAGGTCATGACTGAAAGACCAAACAGATTTATCGAACCCACTTTCTATCTTAGACAAATACCTCCACTTTCACCTGAAGAAAACTTCTCACCAGAATCACTCATGAAGTACTTGCAATTCTTCAACATCTCCGAAATACAGGAAAAGGCCACACTCGTGTTTGCACTCAATAAGGGAAAAGGGGAAAACAAGTACCAGCTGCTATGGCCTCATCCGCGAGTTGTGGACATATGTAGTGTACGTGGGAATCTATTCCACCAGCTGTGAGAATCATACCTTCTCCTGCGATTGCTTCAGTATTTACCTTCCAAAATAAAAAGCAACCATCTCAACCCAAATGAACTAGCACAAGAATAAGGCCGGCATATATCTCACATAACTGCCTATTCAAGCTCAGGTTACTCACCCCCACAATCATGCCTTCAGTAACACCGTCCATGACATCCGGGTTCCCAGCTTTACCAATGCCAACTATGATTCCTCCTTTGATGCCGATGTCAGCCTTGTAGATACCAGTATGATCGATCACCAGAGCGTTGGTAATTACCGTGTCTAGGGTCTCATTCTCACCACAGCCACTTGCTTGCCCCATTCCATCTCTTAAAACTTTTCCCCCTCCAAACTGACACTCGTCCCCATAAAAAGTATAGTCCTTTTCAACTTTAGCACACAAGTTTGTGTCACCAAGTTGCACCTTGTCGCCAGTTGTGGGTCCATATATATGAGCATAATGTTCCTTATCAACTTTAAAAGTTAGAGTGCTATCCACCCCAGAGACCCCAGTCCTGTTTCACCCATAAAATATTCAGATTTCACATACACAAACACAAAGATTCGTTTAGAAACCACACAAATCAAAGACGGAAAAATCATATCCCATACAATAACTGCAAAATCAAACCTCAAAGGTCATCTACAAAATGAAATGTGAAACGTCATCAAAAAGCTGTAGGGAGGAAGTTGACATACAGTGCATTGGACTCATGAGCATGTAGGAAATTTTTGGCCAGAATGCTTTCCATGATCGTTGGTAGACGAGAGTGATCTACTGGACCAGAGGCCAAACCATTTCCTCCTTTGATGACCTTCTTCCCTCCAATGCTGACCAGTGTTACCCTCTTGGTATCACCTGGCTAATGTTTCGCATCCAACGCCAGAAGCTTCAGAACGTAAATTAAGAACCATAATACAACAGAATCAGTGATACGATTAGACATAATTTAACAGACAAGCTCTCACAAAATGCATTGGTGCATGGTGAACTAAAGCCCAAGGCAGAAAGTAAGTCAAAAGTTTACCTCAAATCTGACAGCCGACCCAGCAGAAATATTGAGGCGCATGCCATAGGCTTTCTCTCGATCAAAACAAAGGTAAGGATTGGTTTCAATAAAGTGATAGTGACTACCAATCTGCAAACAAGTGAAGTTTATCATAAGGAAAGATATCTTCAATGGATAGCCTAATTCTAACCCTCTTCACACGCCTCCAGAAAATACCATATAATATACACTGCCAAGCATAAGTGATCAGCTACTCTTTGCTCTAATGAAATATTTAAAGAAAACGTATGCCGATCTACGTTCAATTCATTCTGGAGAAGCATGGACATCATTCTGAACGATCAGTGCAAACCTGGATAGGTCGGTCAGCGCGGTTGCTAACAGTCAACATCACAGCTCTTCGACCTTGATTGATGACGATTTCACCCTTCTCAGTGATCAGCTTCCCTGGATACATTGCTTCCATGTGGAAGTGGAAGGCACCCAAAGGTGGCACTGCGAAACAAATATCAATATTTATCACGTGAGAAACATAACACAATTTCTTTATACAATCACGTCAGAACATGCCAGTAAAAGTATACAATTTCTAGGATATCAGGATCTGGCTCACCTGGAAGGAACGAGCCATGCAACGCCAATGCTAAATCTCCATCTTCCGATGAAAAGGGTTCATGTATTGTAACGAGCTTTGTACCGTCTCGGAATGTTCCTTCAACCTGCACATTTGACAGCACTATTGAGTGACTACTCGGTATAGTTGAGAGAAGAGTTGCAACTTGAACCTGAAACTTGCAGATTAATGAAGGAGAAAGCCCCTGACCTGAACTGATTCCACAAGGTATGGTACGCCAGGCATCACTTGTCGCCTGCACAATGAAACAAATATTGAATTACCTGTGGAAGATTTGCGTCAAAATAACAGGATGCCGCAAATAGACCAAAAATTATTATTATGACAATAGGATCTTGCATAATTCACATATACATGTCTTCGCTACTTGATAATCTTCCAGATGCTTCACAAATAGCACTACAGGATTTTTCAAAAAATGTATCTTCGCACATTACTGTCAAGGCTCTCAAGCTGGACCAACCCACACGGAGAAAACAAAGCTAGAGCTGTAGATTTGATTTTAGAGGCCAAATGCGACGAACATGGCTTAAACTGACGAGAGCCCCAAAGAGTTGCCCGCATTCAAGAGTAGTAACAAACAGTCACAGCCCTTTTCATTGGCGGAGTAACCACAGACATTAGGCCATACAGGAGTTTGACAGTACAGAAGAGATCCTATCAGAAATTGTTATCTGCACATGGAGAGGACCATGGCAGATAACAATGATGAAAAGTCGAAAGCATGAGCAAACATCCCAAAGTCTCGACATGAGGCAAATGTCCATGACCTACCTCCCCAACATGCGCTTGCCTAAGTCCATCAGCTCTGCAACCGACTTCCCCTCTCTAATGAACTCCAACACCTGTTCCAAAGTAACCGACCAAAACATCAATTGCGATAGTGCATTGGCATCGGAGGAACGAAAAGACGTGCGGAGCACAATCAAACCATTCTACGGTATGGATTTGCAACAATTTTCGCATCTTCAACCAGCAGTGTGAATGCATTCTTGGATGCGCTAGTTTTGACGAAGCGAGCAAGAATTTGTGCCTAGGTTTAGAGTTCCATATTAAAGAGCCATTCATACAAAACAATTTACCTGTGTAGCTATCAAAGCGATAGCTTCAGGGTGGTTGAGGCGTAATCCACGGGCCAGCCTCTTCTGGGCAAGTACTCCCGCCCCATGCAGGGTGAGCTTGTTCACCTCCCTTGGTGACAGCTTCATTTTGTTACCGCCTTAAGGCACTATCGTCCTGTACTTTCCCCTGTAGTACGTGGTCGGGATCATCAATTTCTGTCAACTCAACGTGATCCACAGAACTAAGAAGTCAGAGAATATCCTCCAGCCAACAACACACACACACACACACACACACACATGAAAAGAGACTACTCTCTATGGTCATCAATCCTCATTGTTTCGAAATCACTTCGGCCTGAACTTACAATCGAGAAAATACGACTGCTGCTTCGGTCGGGCGCAGGAATTCTAGCAATGAGCACCAGACTTCAACACACCACACTTGTAGCCTCAACAGACCCGAGAATCGTCACATCGTCACCATCTTCGTCCTAATTATACAAATTTATCAACAAACTGAACAACAACGCAATACATCTACCACACCAACTGCTTGAATTCGTGTCACGCACTCGCACACAACTCGAAATTCAAAACCCGGTCTCCATAGCGCCAAGCGTAAAGGCACTCAAAGTGAAGGAAAAAAAAAAAAAACCCCACAAAACCCACAAAACCACAAAACCACAAAACCTCTCGTCTCCTCACCCAAAACCAACGATCCAACATCAGTTCAGAAACTCTCAGCTCAAATTCTGCGAGAGAACGAACTCCCAGTCACACCAGGAAAGGCATCCACCATCAGTATCGAAATCCACAAAGCAGAGGATCATGGACTCACATGGCAAAGAGGGGATCCCGACGCAACGTCCCAAGGGTAAAAATCACATGCAAAATGCTCTGGCACGCCATGAGGCAAGGGGGGTATGCGATGCCGCGATGAAGAGGCAGGAATCTGACAGTGCGAGATGGCTATTTTTACATGGCCGAGTGCGGCACTGTTGCGCCTGGTTTGGAGATTAGGCCCCCGATTCTCTCCCTCGCCCCCCGACGCAGCCATTCCGCAATTCCCCGTTGCCGCGACCTCTCCATCGCCCCCGTTCGAATTGCTCCCTGCGCGCGCTGCTTCTCGGAAGCTGGGAGCCTCCCCGTCCCAAGCCTCGGCGCTGACGTGGAATCTTGGATGGGGATTTGGATGGATGTTTATTATTCGTGGATGATGTTTGTATTCATCCATCTAAATGTCTCCTCCACAATGCTTGCAGTAGTTGGGTGACTTCGGTATGCGTTGGCTTTTCCAAACAGTAAACACTCAACCTGAGAAAAATATGCAAATGAAGGTATTTACTGAAGAAGATCATCGTGGGTGTAAATAACAATTTCGGTATCAGAAATGGTTTTTTGATTACTTCTCGAATTAAAACTAGTCGTCGTTTGAATAACCCGGATTGACATGCATAATTAGAAAAAAAATCCGAATTCCTTGTTGAACCAAAGAAAACATAATAGTCAAGTTTTTATTAGTGTGTATCATTGTTGCTCTTCTTACGACATGTTTCTTAGGAAAGGTGATGATTCAACAAGTTTAGTCTAAATTCAGGATTTCCAAAACTTCATTAAGATTTACAAATAAGGTATTCACGAAGAAGTATTTTGAACAAGCGAATCCTCCTATAAATCACTGCTGTTATTAAAATAACAAATAAAACTTTAAAACAACTTTATGATTGATAATCGATTGGTATGCTTTTATTATACAAAATGGTAAAACGAAAAATAAAAAAATATCACAAACTATTGAATTGAACATCTTATTTTTTATTTTTGCAATTTTATACATAAATAATACATATAATATATATTTTTTATTATCAAACTATCAAACAATGTTTCAAACCATGGTAAAATTTTTTTAAATATATTTGTGCATATTTGCAAATCTATAAGCATTTTCAGTATAAGATATTTTTAGAATACATCAAAATATACCAAAACCTAAAAAACATAGAGTATTTGGAAATAATAAATTCCCAAAGTAGCAATTACTTTAATTTATTTATTCATTCATTTTTTATGTGTAAATTTATTTGATGTCAAGAAAATTTTAAAATACATATTTTCTGTAAAAGTATGAACTTAAATTCAAATCATGCACCCAATTGTTGCCAAGTAATTTAATCCCTTTTGAGTTTTGATTATTCTTCATATTTTTCTTCTTCTATCCTTTTTTCTTTTTGACATTTTGAAAAAATGTTTCACAATGTCTGAAGCAAATTTTATTTTAATAACTGTGGGTTCTACTTGAAAAAAATCAGAATAAGTAGTCGAAGTGCTTGTTTATGGCTTGTATGTAGATTATCCCCAGCCCAATTTTCTAATCCCAACTTTACTATGAACTTTGAACTTAACTTCTTGATCCTCAACCTAAATTATTGAATACTCTAGAAGTTTTTATTTATTTCTTTATTTATTTTATTACGTGTAAGAATATGTAACATATATTTCAAAAAATTATCCAATTAACTGTAAAGTTGTCAAACCATGATTTTAATATGTACATAATATTAAAAAAAAACCATTTATATATATATATATATATATATATATAATGGAAAGTTAAGTAGACCCAAGTTTTTACTAAATCGACCTGTCCATGATGAAAAAAATATATATATAATGGTTAAAATGAGTGGGTCAATTTTGTAAAAGCCTAGGTCTATTTAACATTCCCCTATATTTTTATATACATATACTTTCAAAGCCACCTCATACTATGGCATGTGAAGAAAATTTTCATTATTGTTGTAAGTAAACAAACGAATTAGTGAAATCTAGTTTTGTTAAAGCTCCCTTTAATGTAGATGGACCATTCAGAAAAAGCAATCTAATGGTTTCGAAAACCCCATAAAGCTAAACAACCCAGCCCATCCAGGGTCAACGCGCAGGTGTGAAAACATCCCAAACCCCAGGTCGCTTTCAAATCCCACAACGGCTCTCCTCATACCACGCTTGATACCCTCGTGATACCCGCCCGCTCTCTGTATTTGTGTCCTCTAACGCTTCGGCGAGCGACCATTGTTTGTTGCTTCCACGGCGCCCCAGCCCATCGATCAACTTCTCGTAGTCGCAGTTGCAGCTTTCTCTCAGCAGTCCCGTTGTGCGAGCTCCCGTACAGCATTCAAGTACGCCGTTGTTCTAGGTTCGTGAGCTTTCTCTCTTCCCAGCGTCATTTCGATCACGCAATTTGGTTCTGTCTTGATAACTCTTGAGAGTCTCGGATGTGGAGGGTGGAGTCTGTCTCCGTTGTTGGATTCAGCTGCTTCGGTCTCGGCTGTATCAATGTAGTCATTCGTGGACTGGCGTACTTCTAGAGGTGAGACTGTTCGGGTTTCGGGTTGAGCTTTGGACGTTTGTTTGAATGGCAAAGTCTGTGCGAGGGATGTGCGAGAGGGGCGGATGATGTCGTCCAATGCTGGTACAGATGTGGTAGAGTGAGGGTTTATTCCGTGTGGAAGCGGAGGGATTTCTGTGCGTTACCTGAACTTCCCCGTCCGTGTTCCTCTGTGGAAGAGAGATCGGCAGCAAGTAGTGCGTGAGGTGTGGTGCTTTGAATTGCATTCAACGTACGCATGGTAGGTTGCGGGAATCTTTATCAGAATTTTCTGGAGAAGTGCAAACGGGTCTCTTGTAGAGATTCTACGGCAAGTGAATTCGTTATGCGAAAATGTAATAAACACGGTAATTGAAAGTTTCTCTTGTAAAACTAGTTGCCCTGTGAAGCCAGCTTGTGCAACCATTTCTTCCTAATCACAGAGGTAGCTACCAGCATGTGATTTTTGTCAATGTAGGTCAACCTATAACGTAGATTAATCGATGTTGTGAGTAGGGTCATGAATTGTACCTGCAATCCTTAAGAGTTATGAATAGTCCCAAGCAATTGCATCTAGTCAGCTCAGCCATGGAGCCAGAACGTCTCCACCGAAGGCATGAACCTTAAAAAGGTATCTGCTGTCCGCAGGGGTTTTTGAGCATGTATTGAGTTTTTAAGATGGGTACGGAGTGGGAATTGAGCAAGGAGAACGTTCAACCCTTGCGTAAGGGGCGGAAGGTCGAGATCCTCAATGAGACCCTCCAGGTCAAGGAGGAGAGCCCGAGTCAGTCCAAGTTACTCGATAGTCAGCGAAGGTACACATTATCATTTCCCAGAAACTTTGAAATGGCATGAGCAGCGTCTTCAAATTTTGATGTAATTGGATGTATGTTCAAAGTCAGGTGTGGTAAAATCCCCACTGTATAGACGTGTATGTTCCGGGGGCTGAGCTGCTCCCGTACGTTTCCCTCGCATATAACCAAGTAACGTGTCAATGATTATGCGCTTAGGTTTTGACTTACCCTTTCCGACGTCCTATGTGTAGATCCATGATTGAGGCTATTGACGCCTACGAAGGAGACGACCCATTGCATCCATGGCTTCAGTACGTCTTTACGCTGTTGCACTGTAGTTTGTTCTTTATATCATGCACCCTTAGACTCGAAGTTCTGAAGCTTTCAGAGGGCGTCGACACTTATCCGATTCTCTCAATTCTGGAAACTCGTGGAGATGCAAGCAGTTCTGTTGGATTAAAATGAAACTAAACTAATATCTGGATATATTTGCCTTCAACAGGTGCATAAGGTGGATAAAGGACGCTTATCCGACTGGGGGTTATCAATCTGAGCTTCTGCCGGTGGTGGAGGCATGCACCCGCACTTTTCAGAATGATGAGCGATATAAGTCGGACATAAGATACTTGCGAGCATGGGTACTCTATGTAAGTTTAACTTCATGTTAAACGATATCACGCGAAGATCACTAGTACCATCAAATTAAGTTGTGATGTTCCAGTGATACTCATGGTCACAGAAAGCAGATAATTTTCATTTCGACATAGAGAGAACGTGAAGTTTCTCTAATGCGCTGATTTCAGTAGATCCATAATAGTATTGGATTGAAATGGAGAGGCAATCATTGAGAAGTTCTGGTGTGTCCGTGGTATGTTCGCAGGCAGATTTATGTAAAGAACCTCGGGAGATATATCAGTTTCTTGAACTGCACTGTATAGGGCAAGACCATGCCCTGTTCTACGAGGCATATGCGACCTACATGGAACTTTGTAAAAAGCACAGCAAAGCAAATGAAATTTACGAACTTGGTCTGCGAAGGTAAACCTTTATTTGGTTCTCTGCCGGATCCTCATTGAAAATTGTCCTCTTTGTCCTAACAATCAGGTTCCACCTCTGGCGTCGTATTACAAAGTCTTATTTCTCCTGCTGCAGGGATGCTCAGCCATCAACTAGACTGCAAAACATGTATCAGAGCTTTCTGAAGCGTATGATGCAGCGGAACGAGCGGAAACTTCAAGAAGTGATCCCCAAACCTTTTGGCTTATTTCTTTGAGCATTGCATGTACTATAATACCTTCCTAAATTTGTTTTTCTGCGTTCTAGTACCTATTTTAACCTCTTGAATTCGACATCATCTTCAGGACCAAGAAGATGCTTTTGAACCGGAGAAGATGCGGCACTTCGGAGACAGCAGAGGACCTCCTACTCGTAAGTGAATCCGAGCACCACCTTGCACGAAATGTTTGTGTCTTTCATGCGTAGAGAGTCGGGCTGATCACCCCATTCGGTCGTTTGTGCACTGATTCTAGGTGCCCCGATGAGACCTTCATTTGGACATGATCAGCAAAGACGGAAAATGCATCAACCACAAGTTCCGAGGTGTGTACTCAACCATGTCCTATGGTTGCGCTAGCAAAGCAAACGTTTACATGGGTTTTTCGAATTTAACGCATGTTGATAAAAGTTCACACACTCAATACTGTATAAACTCATCATTCGCAATGAAGATATTGACACAGATCCTGATCCGATAGGACTGGAAGCATCCTCTATCAAAATGCCTTATTATAGACTTCTGTTACTCGTCGAGATCTAGCCTTTTATTTAAGGAACCTTATTTCCTCCTGTGATGAAGCAGGTCTACGATGGACATCTTTGTCGATGATGAATTTCACTCAGGAACTCGTCCCTCGGTTGTCCCTGAACCGGTCGGTGTGCATGTCCCTGCCGCAACATGGAAGAACCTAGGGACCCAGAAAGAAGTGAGGAAAGAAAATGACCAGAGACCTTCCAAATGGAATGAGACTACTCTGCCACGTCTAGGAAAGGTGTCTAAACATGTTGAAGCACGCCCACCTATTGAAGTCTTCGTTGACGAGGAGTGTGAAGAAGCTCATGCCAGGTTGAAGGTTAAGAATGCGTCTGCGTCATCAACCACTCTTCGACAACGAGTCGATGGTGTCTGTGACTTACGCAGGTCAGTATACCTTTGTAGAGAGCTATGGCATCTTTCCGCAGTGAGAAAGTCCGCATTTAAGTTGGTGATTCATTTACTTTTGATAATTCGCAAGATTCTTTGTTCAGTAGGACGAACTTAATGCCAGTCTGATGTCGTGTACATAAATTTTCAAGTATCAAGCTGTCTTCGTGAGAGGTTTGTGGTCTTAATGTCTTAACCTCGAGGTCTATATATGCAGAGAGCAGGAGGCATTGCAGAAGAATCCTCTGATGCATTTTAACGATGGTGAGAAGCCATCCACTGCCTCTCTGCTTCCAAGAGATCCCAGCGGAAACTCTCGTGAACCAGGTGCGCATTACTATCTAGTTACTTGCTGTAGACTGTCGGGGCTGAAAAGTTTACATCAGTTGAGTTGATCACGAGGATGCTATTAGTTGGCTGGCGGTTGTGTTGGAAAAAAAATGCATTTACACTTTCTCCCAAATCAGTATTCAGGCGTGTTATTTTCTATGAGCAGTGGCTTAACGCCTTGATGCCCTGAACTACTTTAAGATCCTCGCGTAATAACCTCACTTTTGCCTTTCACTCTCATGAGCTCTGTCCTTTCCAGTTAATTTGCTGATCAGCTTTGGATGGTGCATGGCTTCAGATGGACCTGAGAGTGGAGCTCCGCATCTGGTGGGTTCTGAGATTTTCCAAGGCGGTGAGGACGGTCGTGAAACTTGCTTTGAGGAAGCAAGGCTGGTGAGGTGGAAGATGCCCCACCCAGCCGCACATCATCCAGCAGTATCTTCACCGCGGAGCTCAGCTGAGAAGGCAAAGCTGATCGAGAAATCACTTAACATGTTCCAATCCAAAAATGCAAAGCAGAAAAACCAAGATTCCCGCTTCAGTGATAGGGAGGTTCCAGTACCTGAGCGTCGTGTTCACGATATTGATATTTCTAACAAGATGGTTGGGAAACTTTCTCGGGGAAGCTCGAACGAGAGCTCCTCTGACGAATCTGTTGCAAGTTTTCTGGCACCGCCAGCGACCAAATCTTCTATGTCCAGAGCAAGTTCAATGAGCTCCATTGATGAGCCTCCTCCATTTGCTTGCTCCATGCCTAACTCTCAATTTACTGCAAATGGCGAGGAGACTATTGCAATTAAGAAATATGCTGAGGAGTTGATCATTCATGGAGCTGACCCCAATGGCAGGCGGACTGACGTTGGCCGCCACCAAGGTCTGATTGACCAAACAATTAATACCAAGGAGTGCCTTCAAGACATCCTGTCTATGTTTAACAGGCCCCTATCGTGTGAGAAGGTGCCCCAGCGCAAACCCAGAGCCAGTAAGTCGTCGCGACCATCTCCGAATTCTACTGAGGGATTTGATGTATTCATTGATGACGACGAGGACAACCCTCCCGTCCCTAGGCCTCAGAATAATGGCGTGAACCTGAATCGAGGGTTTGAAATTTTTAACGACGAGGAGAATGATCCCAGTCAACTGAGTAAAATCCACGCAAAGAAAGGATTTGAGGTATTCGTGGATGAAGTCATCAGCGCCCCTCCTCCCAGGACAAGAAAGCTGAAAATGAACTCCTTTGAGGTCTTTCAAGATGTTCCAGACGTTGTCAAGCAACCAGGGAAGGGCAGCTTCGAAGTTTTTGAAGACGAAGAACTTCCTCCAAAGAAACCAGGGAGGGGCAGCTTTGAGATCTTTGAAGATGAACTTCCACTGGAGAGACCAGGGAAGGGCAGCTTCGAAGTTTTTGAAGATGAGCTTCCCCCGACGAAACCAGGGAAGGGAAGCTTTGAGGTGTTTCAAGATGAACCTGCTTCAACGAAAGCAGCGAAGGGGAATTTCCTGGTGGATGAAGTGAAGCACCGTGTTGCGAGACCGCCGGCGCGGAAGATACCATCTGCGATGTGTGAAGGATCGTTCGATATCTTCGTAGATGACGATGTGGTTGCTAAGTCAAGTGTTCCGAAGCAAGGATCATCATCTAGAGGCACAGAGAGCACATTTCAGGTGTACGCAGACGAAGACAGTATTCCAGCTCCTAAAAATGTGGAGCGACGAATCCCCAAAAGTAAACCTGTAAGTAAGTCTCAGACCGGAGGTTTCTCCATCTTCATAGACGACGACGTTGCTGTTCAACCAGTCCGCAAACCTAAGTTGCAATCAAGCACGAGAAAGTGATCATTGTTTTTTGATTGAGGAGCATAATTCTCGTATGCTTAACACGAACTGATACACTAAGCATCTGGTACGTAGTATGACCCGTTAGTAAAACAGTAGCTGGGAATGTTGTTCTCAGTCCACTTTGTCCTTGTTAGGTATCGCCTGTAAGAATGATAACATACCGACTAGTATGTGAAACCCGTAAACCGACAAATTATTTGCTCAATGTAAGGTTTTTGACAGTAAATTCTCTGTCTCTAATCTGAGCTACGCCGGTTCCCAACACGGAGACATACTCGACGACAACTCGTTTCTGTTCGGAATCATCTTCATTTGTGATTTCATCAATTTGTCACTGTGTCCCTAATTTTCACTCCTGTCCAGATTGTGCTGGCACTGAAATGGTTTTGGAAAGGTGATATGCTTATCTCTGCTGTATTCATTCTAAACCTGTGCAAAGAATAGCAGCCACGAAATGCCGGCCTCAATCTGTTGTTTAATGTCGGTGTGTGGAGGACGAGGTGATAAATACGTTTGTGCAGGCTAAACATGTTCAACAACGTTGGCCTACTGTCTTAGCGGCAGGTGAAATCCCAGTTTGCTGACTTGCCTTCGACGGAGAAATCCTGTTAGGTTGCCATGACGAGGAGACACAGACGTTGCCATTACTGATCTACCAGTCTTACCACAGAAAAGACTGGTATAGTGTATTAATAGATTTAGTTGTATATATCTACATTTCACATAATTTTTGTTGGATTGAGCTGCAAATTTTGCGACGCTTGTTTCGAAAATCTTCACAATTCTTAACACAAACCGAACTTGGAGATGCTGGAGAAGTGTTGCACATTTGCACATTTTGACGTTGACCTAGATGAGCATCCCACACAAAGTGTTAAAGCTTGCAACATCAACAATGCATGCTCTAATAACATACGAAAGTTCACTGTCGACTGCCGCTGATCCGGCTGGTCCTTGGACTTGGAGGTGGCTGATCTCTCATGGTCCAAAACAGTGGGTCTGTGGGCACTTTCTTGAAAGATGAAACACTCTAAAAGAACCGTAACTTGATTCATTTTCAACCACAAGAAATAACCTTGTTTATGTACGTAAGTCTTTTATTCTACCTTAAGTCTTAAACTACTTGTTGTCTCTACAATAACCATGTGGTCATTGGAGCAATTACTGAGTTAAGTGAAGTTGTATCAATGTTGTCAACATGGTAGTGATGTCATCATTTCCGAAGTGTGGTACTTCTAACACCCTCCCTTTTTCTCTACATTACATGTTCAAAATCACACCTTTTTGCTGATTCCTTCCTGTGTATTCTTTTAAGATGTTCTTGATATAAATGGATAACTTATCAATGGTATAATTTGTTCCTAACTCTTCTTGAATTTTTCTGGAGCACTAACTAATTATTGCTATATCATTCTAATCGTAATGATTCCTGTGACGGAGTGAGGTTTTGCTACTTGCTTTGTGGTGCACCCTTGTTGTTCTTTATAAAATCATTGATTTCTTCGTGGCAATTATGTATAGATAACTTCAAAGATTGTTGGCTTGCAATCCCTTTTGTTTTGAAGTAAAGAGAGTTGATGATTTTGCCTTGATGGTCCTTGTTTCTCTTGTGCTGTGTTTGTCTTCAATTGTGGTTTTGATGAAGATATTTTACGTTGTTGGAAAAAGAATTTGGCCAAAAACATATCATACATGGAATGAGTGTCATCTTAATATTCATGGATTTAGTGGATCTAAGTATAAATGTTTTAGATCTCTTACTGAGGCTGGGAGTTATTTGGATATTAGAAATCAAGCACAAGTGGACTGAGGTTTGAATCCTTATTCTACTTGGTTGGTACAGAAACACGGCTAATCCAGTAGTTTAATTAAGTAGTCAGTATGTTACTTTAGACAATACATATGTTATGATAGAATCTTTTACTTGTTGTTTTTTTCTAATAAAATGATGTTGGATCTTAATATGCTTCAGTTGTATGTAAAGTACAAGAATGTCTACTAGCTTGATGCATGATTGATTATTGTTGTGAAGTTGAGTTGGTGATTCATCACATAAGTGGAGTTCATTCAGCAACATGCATAGGCAGCAAACGTTCTTTGCAGCTTCTGATAAGGCACAATATTCTACTTCTGTGGTAGAAAGAATAACGGTTGATTGGAGTTTGCTACTCCAATCTACAATACTACTGCCAAGCTTGTGTACAATTCTTGTGGCAGATTGTCGTGTATCTAGGTCATGCCCAAAGTTAGAATTGGTGAAGATATAATAACTTAGCCCTTCTATAAAAAGAAAGTACAAACTCCAATTTATTATTTCTTTGAGATAGTGTAGAATATGCTTTGCAATAATTCAGTGTGCTTCTTCTAGTTCTTACATGTATTTGCAAACATTTCCTACAGCATAGCTGATGTCTATCCTTGTAATTATGGCTGTAAGTGGTAAGCATCCAACAAGTGATCTATATAGTGTAGGATTAAATAGCTCTATGTTCATTTGTTTCTTGAGTTTGAAACCAGTACACATTGGAGTAAATATAAGATTGTAGTGTTGCATTTTGAACCAATTTAATAAGGTCTGAATGAATTTTCTTTGATGTAGATAGATTTTGTAAGAACTATATGTTATCTAGGCACTTAGGTAAAGTTGAGCATCTCCTAGATGCATCATTTCAAATTTTGAGGTGAGTAAGGCTTTGACTCTGATGTTTTCATTTTCATTGTTTCTTATTAACAGTAGATCATCTACATATAACAAAAGAATCACATATTTTTTTGTTTTGATATGAGTAGTACATATTGCAATTTGCAATACTTTTGTTTAATTCTTTTTCTTTGAGTTAGCTATCAATGCAAGTATATTAAGCTCAAGGAGCTTGGCCTAGTTTAAATAGGGCTTTTAAAATTTTGCAAACCTTTCTTATTCTTGCTCCATGAAAACTATCCAGAACTTTTATAAAAACCTCTTCTTATAATGTCCTATTAAGAAATGTTGTCTTAATGTCCATTTGCCTAATACACCATTGCTTTTGTGTTGCATATTATTAACCAACTTACAAGTAGTGCAAATGTGACAAACTGATCTAATCCTTCTATCTATTCATTTCTTTGTACTACTATTCTTGCTTTTAGCTTATGTATTTCACTCAATGGACCTATTTTGGTTTTATAAATCCATTATGTTAAAATAGGTAATTTGCTTTTTGATAAGTCTATCAACTCCCATGTTTTGTTCTTTTCTATTGATTTAATTTTTTATTTTATTACATCACTCCATCTTACAAATTGAATTGCCTTAATATAAGTTGAAGGTTCTTTGTGATTTTATAAGGAATCTTTAGAAGAGAGCTATGGCTTGAAAATGCTAGTGACTTGTATACATTGTACTTGCTCATAGAGAGATGCTCCGAGGATGTACACAAGACAATACTTGATATAAATAAGTGTTTAATTGAGAACTAAATATCACGATGAATTGTACTATTTACAATGTTTGTGAGATCATTAGAGTCGCCAATTTTGAACATTAGTAGTGTAGAGTGTTTTTCAGAATTTACAATGTTGAGATCTGAGAGACTAATGTCAAATGCTGAAGACTGAATGATATTATCATCACTGATATGCATTATGTTTATGAAAGATGATAATGCATTACAGTGGTCATTTTGTATCCATGAAGCATGTTGTTTGTTATCTACCTCAGGCTAAATTTTGAAATTCATATCTGCTGAATTTGTTGATAAAACAATCAAAATGCTTCTGCAACTTAAGTCTGATGTGGTAAGCTTAGACAAAGAATTCTTGCTTTTTTGTTGATTGGTGGACCTTGCTTTGGGCAAATACTTACAGATATTGATCTTCTCAAAAGAAATGTCATTTAGAAGGCCGTTGCAGTTTGTATTTTTGTTGAAGGGCTGTTTACTAAATATTTTAGTCCGATTGTGATAATTTGATGTTTAGTGATCTAGAAAGTCCATGGAAAGAGGCCACTTATTGAAAAATATTCTACTAGACTTCTTGAGATGATTGCTTCTAATTATTTCTCTTGAATCTAACTAAGTCCGAGCTTGTGATTTGACTGCCTTATCATTTACTTTTAGATATATGTTCTACTGGTGAATATCAATATCCTTCTTTGCATCTAAAGTTTCTCGTGCATGTTATTGAATTGTATTATTGTATTCCACATCTGTAAGTTGATGATTTGGCATTTGTATTGATACTTCATCTTCACTTGTATGATAGTCTGACACACTGTTAAATAAATTTCATCATTATTAACTATGGTGTATTCTGGAAGGAGATATCCTATCATTTCTCTGAAATTACATCTTTTGAAATTAATATTCTTTTATCTTTTGTATCATACATCATATATGCTTTACTTTCAATATTATAGCCTAAAAATAGGCACTTTCTTGTTTTGTTGTCTATCTTTTTTCTTTGTTCTTTAGGTATGTGTATGTATCCTAAACATCCAAACATTCTTAGATTGCTAATATTGGATTTGTGTTGAAATTTGTTTTCATGAAAAATCATACCAAATTTTTCTTTGATTGGGCTAAGATTGATTAGGTGGTTGGCAGTATTTATTGTCTTGCTCTATAGAAAGTTTGAAAGCTTACTTTTAATAGCCATATTTCCTACAAGCTCCATAATTGTTTTATTTTGTCTTTTTGCAACACTATTTTGATGTAGTGTTCTAGCTTGCATCAATTGGTATGTAATTCCATGTATCTTATTGAATTTCTGAAATTATTTTGAGAGGTTTTTTCTTCATCTATCCAATTTAATTTTCAAAATCTTATGTCTTATTTGCTTTTCAACCATTGTTTTGGATAGTATAAAATTTTTAAAAAGTTCCACTCTTGGCTTTGAAGAAATATATCCAAGAATATTATAAATAAACATTTGTAAAAACTAAGAAATATCTTTCACTTCCTAATGATTGATGCAACATAGGTTCTATTATATCTATATTTATCAGCTCTAATTTTCTAATTATTCTTATGTAGGATTTTTAAAAAATATGCTCGTGTATTATTTTTCAACTTAACATCCTTCACAAATAGTTTTTGTATTATCAATTCTAGGCAATCGAATCACTTTGTTCACTTTGGATAAGTGACTTAATTCATAGTAGTGAAGGTGTCCAAGTCGACAATGCCAAAGGTGTGGATTATCTTTTCTTATTATAATGTTTATTTTTGCTATATGATTTTTAAACTTATTTAGATTATTTGATAAGTTTTTGTGTCCACTTGCTTTGGCTTTTTCATTTCTAATGTTGTCTAATATTGAACAATGATGTTTTGTGGATACTACTATATTTCTTATATTTGTTAGTCTTTTTGTTGATATAAAGCTATTGCGTACAAAAGATATATAAAGAACATTATTAAACTTTATTCCATTTGACTTAGTGGCTACAATTATCTTTTCATGGCCTTCAATCTAATGAGGTTTCTCTCTTGTCATATTGATAAGTCTTCCTTTCACTTTGTAAATTGATTCTAGTACATTTGTATTACCAATGACATGATTCAAAGCACTGTTATCCATATATCACTTGTACTTCAAATGATCAATAATATTTATTATGGTTGCATTGAAATTGTTAGTATTATTTTCATTACATTCATCATATTTTATGTGGTTTAACATATTCATGTTGTTGTTATAGGACCATTCTATAGACTATTATTTTGGGTAGTCTCATGCAATGTGATCTTCTTCTTTATATGCAAAACATCCAATTCCTCTTCAATTAATGAAAAATTGATGTTGTGTTCTTTGTCCTAGATTATCAAATCTCCTATGTATGGGTGCTCTATGTTTATCTTACATTGATGTTCTCTTCTATTGCACAACCAATGTTATTTCTTCTTTACCAAGTTTCTTACTCCTAAGCTACTAAGCTCCTATTAGTGTCCTTTGTTGATGAATTTTGTAGCAACTTATTTAAATGTGGGCAATGCTTCTATGGATGTTGTACCTTATAGAAACCTTTCATATGAGTGTGACATTCTATTTAGTGTGATCTATGCTAGAATTTTATCAAGTACATTTTTTTCCCATGGCCGTTGGCTTATTCCTTATCTCATGTACCTTTTTGATATAATTTTCTACTGAACTACCTTTTATGCATGCAAAATGTGAGAAGTTGGCTTGTTAGCATCGTCATCTGTACAAGATCTCCAAAGTAGAGATTTTTTTCTAGCACTTTCTAAGCATTTGCTTGATCTTCTTACTTTGCTAATGTATCGATCAAGTTGTTGCTCACATATAACATGATTGCACTCATAGCTATATTCTTTATTTTTTGCAACATAAAAATAATTGTGATCAACTCCATTCATCCATATTAGATACATTGTTCATTCAACTTTTGTTTTTGTGACCTCCTAAAGATTGTACCTTTTAAGATGCACTTCTATCTTATGTTTTTAGATGTGATAATTGACTTCTCCAATCAACTTATTTGAGTCACCAATCAACATAAAAAAATTGTCTTTTGCCATAGTTCAAAATCATAGTTTATTCAAAAAATAATAAAAGATATATTATTTAGATAATTTATACCATTTTGATTATATAGGAGCAAAGCTTAATATGCTTACTTTGATACCATGAAAGATGAAACACTCTGAAGAAACCATAAAATGATTCATTATTAATCACAAAGAAAAACCTTATTTATATACATAAATCTTTCATTCTATCTTTAATCTCTAACTACTCATTATCTTTTTGATAACTATGGAGTCACTAGAGTAACTACTGAGTTAATAATAGTTGAATCAATGACATCAATATAGTAGTGACATCATTGTCTCCAACAAAAGTATTACTTCTAACATTCTTCTTTGATGCTGACTCTCTCGACATTTTTTTTTTTTTTTTTTTTTTTTTTGTCTACTTTTTATTACAATCAGTTGTCAAAGCTAGGAAAATCATGTTGTAGCTTTATTGAAGTTCTAATGCCAATGTTGGTTGAATATTCTTAAGCCTATATTAGTGTGGGTTTGTGTATGTATGTGGTTTTTATTATAATTAGAATCATTGAATGAAATGCACCACAACCTCATTTTGTTAATTACTACTTCTATGTAAGGACGTGGTACCAAACATTTATTCTATCAACATGGCACAATAAAATACAAATTAATATGTAAACTTTTGAGTTACATATATTGAATTAGAATTACTAATTTTTGATTAGATCAACTAATCTTTTAAGTTATTTAACAAAGAATACTTAAATACAACAATTGGCAGTGCTAAGGTGGTTTAGAACTTGAATCTGTGACCTTATTTTATAATATATAAGATGGATTTGACTTATAAACAATACACCATTGTCTTTAGTCATTTTCTACCATTCTATTAGTGAAGGTATTGGAAGAGTTTAGACTTTCTTCAATTTGTTTATTAGATTGGTGATTTTTGAGATGAAATTCATTTAAAAAAGAGTCTCTTAATATTAACTTGCAAACATTATTATGTAAAAATGAATTCTTACCAAGTGAAGAATGGTCCCTTATCTTGGTAGTTTGGATTATCTAATTTTGGAGAAAAACTTCGCAATGCTCAACTATTGAATTGCTTCAATGTTTGGTAGTGATGAAATTGCATGATTTTTTTATTTCAAAATCTCAAAGATTCTTGAAATAGAAGAATTGATAAGATTAAAGTAGTTGTTTGAATAAAATGAGGTCCTCAAGTAAATATTCATTAACAATAGCAAGATTACCCTTCTTCCTAATATTACATGACTTTCTTTATGGTCTTGTTTATATTACATAATTAAGTTATTTATTTACTAATGAATATATTTACACAAGTATGTCAAAATCTATTTTAAGAATTCTTAATTATTTGTATTCATATTTATTTTAGATATAAACTTTACTTATATTTATTTTATATTTTTTTTGAAGGTGGTTTTTTTTTTTTTTTTTTTTCTTTTTTCTTTTTTCTTTATTTAATATTTTGATTTAGCTAAAAAAATACTATTTCTAAAATATATAATAATACTATTAGGATAAAATATCATTAATTTCTAAAATAATAATAGATAATAATAATATAATAATAAAAAATTAAAATTATATAATAGAAATATAATTTATAATATAATAAAATAAATATTTGAATGTATGCATATATATATATATATATATATATATATAATAATTAATAAAATCTTAGGTAGAATTCAATATAAAAATACGTATTAGATGATTTATTAAGGTGATTTTTATTTTAATCTAATATAATAGTTTTTTCTCACATCTATACATTAGATTAAATATAACTATTTGTTTCTACTTTTTATTGTTCTTGTAATTACTTTTAATTCTCTTACAATCTATTAAATATTTAAAAGCACTTGCACCTCTTTTCTACAACTTTCAATGAATTTTTTTTTAACTACTTACTTTTAAAACCTCCTTATCATATTATATTCTATTATAAAATTATATCTGTTTTTTACAATATTTGAGATAAAATTTGAAAACTATTCAAAAGACATCAAATTTCTTGGATTTTTGTAACACATGCTACTAGACTAAAAATAAAATTTTAGTAGTATTTATGCAATAGGTTAAAAATAGAATAATCATTTAAAAAAAAGATCAAGTTACAATCACAAAAAATAATGGTGGCAAAAACAAAAAACATATATCTTCATAATTTTTCTATAAAGTATGTTATTTTTTGAATTGATTTATTTGAAAAATATACTTTTAAAGATAATTATTGACAACATCTTTATATAATCATTTAAGATTTCAAATGTTTACATTGTGAGTGAATCTCATAAATAGAAGAAATTATAAAAGGCTACTTATGAAACAATTCTCATAAACCAAAGTTGTATGAAGACCTGAGAATTGGAATATGACAAAAATATTTAGGAAATATTTGATAAATTTTAAATAAATTGCAACTTTTAACTAGCTCCATGATATACACCTCCAATAAGTTATGATCTCAAAAGTTGCTCCTTGACCATGAAAACGTCTAGAGTACCATCTCTTAAATCTATAAGGATTATAATAGCACCTTTTTGACTACAATGTTTTTTAATGCCAACCTATTTTATAGATTTTCTTGTATAAAAACCAAATTATATTAATAAAAAATAAAAAATAAAAAATACAATTATAATTCAGAAAAATATATTAAAGAATGTTCAATGTGTATCACATATTAATTTAATTCATACAGACCTTCAAAAAGAGCTTTATAGACAAACAAATAATATTTTTAAAAGAAAAAAGTTGTAGTGTCTTAACTTTTCCCCAAAATATATAAAGTGCCCATGAATAAAAATTTCTGGGATGTCTTGCAGAAATGTTGGACCTTTCTGCTCCAATATTACTGGGTTGGGAGAAGTCAGTCAATATCATTCAACCACTAATGACAAAATTTTCCGAACTGATTAAATATAACACGAGAGATAAATGATGTGTGGTCACTGAATGTGCGCACCAATTCACTAGCTCGAGCATCGAGCATCCCAACGTTTCCCAACGCCTTTAAAATTGTCTTCGTTCATGTCATTGGTATGTCTTCATAATTGACGTGTAAGTTAAATCGAGAGCAAAACATTCAGGCAGGAAAATTCTAATTCCCTTGAAAAGCCAAGTATGGAACCACATCCTTCTTAAGATAAGTGGAACACAGTAAGGGCAACTGTACTACGTTATCATCGACTTTAAAATGGGAATGTATTCCAAAACCTGAACAAAAATGTCGAGCAATAAAGGACTGCAAATATGCGGAACCCATTGAGAACAATTTATTCATAGTAACTAAATGTGAAAAAAAATCAACCCTGCTGTGTCTACTAGTACTGATCAAAAGCTGCTTGCACAACTGAGGGTAACCAAGTAAACCTCCTATCCATATCCATGTCCACAACCATCAAATTCTGGATGGATGCAAGCATCTGCTAGCACAGGTGCCAGGAAAACCATCTCCTACCTCTATACCATGGATACTAAATAAACTATTCCAGACGCAGGAGGGGCAGGGCTTTCCCCACCAAGCTCCTGATATCCTTTCACATTGAGTTAGCTTAAGGTGGCTGAAGCTTTGTAAAAATATACTACCCATACCTTAAGCGGGCTGTGGGTCTAGCCTCCAAGAAGATAGCCTACCAACATGCCCAACAAACCAACGAGTATAACAAACAAAAATGAGAATCCAGGCTGCTTCTTTTGATCAACTAGCGTTCCACCACCGAATTTTGAATTTCCGCTTTTGTAAGCTTGCTGCAAAAAATACACCCGGTATTAAGACACCTCAAGCCACAAGTTATGCAAGAACAATGTGTATGCTGTGGTACTGAAGATAAGACAAGACATCACGTTATTCCTGAATAGTCACCTAACAAGATAACGCTTCCACCATAATACAATAGGGCGTTGGCACATTGGAGTCCTTCCCACGTTACACATCAACAACCATGATCACAATAACTACTTTCGGTACTAACCAATTCTTGCTGAAGGCTTCGACTTTGCTGTACCGCTGAATTCCGCTCCTCTGTAAGAAGGTTTAGAGCTGCCTTGGTCTGTTCAAATCCAAATCATACATTGTAAGAGCTGCGTTCTCTAAGGAAACAGAAATCTAATCACAGTATCCTTGTTGGAAGTAAGAGAATGAACTGCGAGGTATAAAAAATAAGAATGAGAAAGTCTGAGGGGCGTACTTCATTCAGCTTGAACTTCCACTCACTCTCGGTCTTTGAGATCTGTTACAAGAAGAAAAACAGAAGTTATCTTTCTGCTTCAAAACACGATTTCATCAAAAGACTAAGTTTATTACTTGAGACGACCAAATACCATAAAGAAAAGCTAAGCTCAATTACCGGGTCAGAGAGTAAATGATGTCGATCACTGTTATCTACCGCCGCGGCTGCTTTAGGAGAATTACCCTCTTCCTCGTTTGATTCTGTGATAGGTGATGGTGGTTGAGGTGGTGAAACATACAGGACTTTCAATTTCGCCTCATAAACCTCCCTCCCCTCTTCTTTGTTAAACTGTAAACATTCGAAACAAAATAATAGTTAATCATAGACAATAAACGAGAGAAAACTCGAACAATAGGAGTTCAATGTGCTCGATGTGCAATAATGCAGAATGAGAATGCAGCTGACATCAAGCGTCTGATAGAGCGAGAATTACGTAATAAATGAGAAAAACACATGATGATGTAGCTAGAGTTCACATCCAGCCGCATAAAAAACGGTCGTTATTGAGTCAGTACCAGCGACTGTTATTTATTAGGAAATCCACAAAGCTGATCCACAAAACGGGAGGCGCAAGACAAAGACTCGTACCATATCTTGAGAAACCTCCTTGGAGGAGGGTGCTATGACACTCTGGACAAGAAATTTGTCCTTACATTGCATGTCGGGAGGAGCTTCCCTCTGAGCTTGCATTGTAACTGCAAAAGTACAACCATGCAAATCTTTAAAACAGAGTGCTTCTTGAAACAAAAAGCTCCGCAACAAGTCTCATACAGTAGCCCTAATTAACATTCAACAAGGCTGAGCACCAGATGTGCGTGAACTCTCATGATCCAGCACACTTTCCTAGAGTATTTGTTAAGAGCCAGAATGACAAAAGACAAGATAGTTACCTGTAACATCTGCACTACTGTGAGGCTGGACAACGCCGGTATTGGGGCGTACACAGTACTTCTTGGGAGAAGTCGTCTTAACCTGAAAAGTGTAAATGCAATCAAGCCAACGAACATGAGGTCGCTGCCATATCTTAATAAGAATCAAATAGAAAATACGCCTAGATTGAGAATCGTTAAGACCTTAAAAGGGTTCATCTCACTACTACGAACACTAGAATTCTGGGTTTTCATGTTGTCGAAGAATTCCCACTTACAATACAAACCCAACACTCAAATCCTCCCCACTATCTAGGAGGTTGAGATGATGAAGCAAATGTATTGACCACTTGTATCACCAAAAAGACTACATTTAACCCAGTAGAGCAAGACAGAAACTTGACACCAAGCCCAACTACTCACCTTGAAGGCCACATAATCATCGGTGGAGTTGACCAGCCGGAGGGATGATGATATCTGTTTCTTCAATTCAACTGCAGCATACATATGAAAACCATAACCGTCAGCGAAAGGTTTTAGTGTGGTACCCACCGCGATTACAGTAAATTCAACAATTAAAGATGGATGTAATACAAATGCTCACCCAATGGTGGCATTCTACTTCCTCATAGTAAGATTCATTGTAAAAACAGCTTAGGGAGTTTGAGACTGTAAAAAGAGGCGCTAAGTAGACAGTAGTGAAGAACATGGACGCAACCTTGCACAAGGCTATCATGATTTGCACTCAAAACTAAACAAAATAGCCTTAAAACCCTTAGCCGCTGACTACGCATAAGAGACTCAGGTGACAGTTGAGACCACAAACTGCTGCTTGCATACTAACATTGTTAGTCCCTGTCATACACTACCGAGCTACCAGCAACATCGCACATTCCGAGTAGGATTGCTTCAACAGAACACAAATCTAGCGATGATAGATTCCTAAGCACATTGAAGTCAGTGACGCCCGGTGCGGAATGAGAAAATAGCCTACATGGAAACTTCAGCTCCCCAGGCTGGATGCTGAGAAGTTCGGTGGGCATGGTTGCTTTCACTGATTCGACCTTCTCTTCAGGTCAAGTGAATCACGTTTCAGATGTCCCAAAATGTATGTATTGTGGAAATATCACATCCTCCCCCTGTTAAAGACAACATCGAACAACACGTACCAGACAGATTAAAATCATTAGAAAAGTCATCAATAAGCCAAGACCCATCCACCCACATATATGATCAGTCTATCAATTAATTCATTTGTCTATCTGTCAGTCTGTCTGTCAATATCAATATATATATATATATATATTAGTCCAACAATTCTTACAAAATGAGCGACATGTGATTACTTTGTCCGAGTAGAACGCAGTTGATGGATACACATGTATATGTACATATATATGAACTCCTGAAACCGGCATACACTAACCAAGTACGTAAAACTAGGGTAGACAGTGAGTACCCCTCACATGACCACAACGACACAGTCTGATGTGGGAGCATGATGCACTGCGTGGCACTCTACAACCCTTCTACCCTAGACATGCCTTCAGTCCCCTACGGACTCACATCTTAATAATCCACAAAGTTCTCGAATCACGGCACATCCATAAAAGAATTCAACAGGGTACCGACCGCGACGCGCTCCGTCTAGTATACCACCACTCGCAACTAATTAAACTACGGACTAAGGTACCCCAAAACCCAAAGCACGAATCTCCCGCTCTTCTAAAAAGCATACGTATCGCCGGAAGACGTAACCTACACAAATGGGAATGCTTAAAAGCGTAGCGAAAAGAAGCAAGAATTTCTACATCTCAATCGAATACCGCCATCTCGAGGATTAAATGTCAAAATCTCTCTCTCTCTCTCTCTCTCTCTATATATATATATAAACTCTCTCGCTATCTCTCTTGCTCTCTCTCTCTCTCTCCGACAGCTTCGTAATTGCTTCAAAATCATCACAAAAGCGCTCTAAGCATTCCTAGAACAACGGAGCGGTAGCGAAGACAGGGAGAACGAACCAGAGCCAAAGGAGAATCCAGATCGGTAGCAAGAACGCACCGACGAGAGCTCCACGAACTCAAAAATGAACATTCGAAGCGAGAGGGCCAAGGAAGGAAGCACAGACCTAAACCCAACACCGTGGCTTGCACTGGCGCCACCGTGTCAACCCTTTCCCCGCGTGATGTGTACATGCATCCACTGGCCAATACCATCAGGGATGCAAAATTGTTGGCGGGCCAGGTGGCAGGGTTCGAATGCCAGCTCATCGTCCACGATGGCACCCCTCACCTCACCCCCCGCATTGAATGAGGGACATGAGACCCTTCGACATCGGCATTTCCTTCGTCTAGCTCCGCCCTCGCGAAGCCCTCGTCGCTCGCGTCGCAGCCAAGGGTGCGTAACCGGCAGCGTAGTTCTCGCAGCTTTCATAATGCAGCAGCTCTCTTGTGCAGGGATCGAGACGGAGATGGTCACGGGCGCGTCGAGGAGAAGAGAAGGAGATGTTGGCGCTGTGCGATGCTCTGTTATGTCGTGCTCAATCGCTCGCTGTGCTTTGCTGCTGTGTAGGAAGCGTCGTGAAGAGTGTTACACGGGAGTGCGATAGCGAGTGAGTTGATGTGATTTAATTTGTAACCAGATGAGTGTTGATGTCTATCAGTGACCGATGTCTCCAGGGAAAATTACAACACATATTACATTCTACCAAAAAGTATCAGTAAGAATATTTTTAATTTCTTCTGTACACCAAATTGTAACCTTATGTATTTCAATAGAAACTCTTTGCCCCCCTTCAAAAAGTTTAATTGAACACACAATTACAGTTTGATTAATCAACTATTTATTTACAAAAAGTTTATAATTAGTTAGTTAATTAATTAATCTGTAATTATGTTTTAAATAAACTCAAACCACTACCTTCATCCTTTTCATAACCATGTCATGCTCATCATAATGTTAATTCCACAATGATAAACAAAATAATAATTTTAAAAAATAAAACAAAAAAATAAACATATAACTTTTATTTACATGAAGAGAGAGAAATGAAGTAGAAATCACTTTGGATTAAAGTATAAACTTACAAAATAATCTAACATTTAAAGCTACAACATCATATGATATTTACTTTTATGTATTATTCTAAAATATTAAACTATAATTTAGAATAACTATCAAATTTATGAAGTTTGTCTTTAAAAACTTCTAATTATTGAAATAAAAAAATAATTATATAATTTTTTATTTAAAATAATTATAAAATATTTAATAAATTTTTTTCAAGGCACCTTTAAAATAGATTGAAATATCTTCTTCATTGATATAAATATGATATTAATAAATGCATGTGGAATTCAGCAAAGAATTTTGCAAATGTAGCAAAAAAAAATTAAAGCTTTTTATTGATGACATCCATCTAAATTAATATAAAAAACAACAAGATTCATGAAAGATGTTGACTGCTCTTTGTGGAATTCGTCCTTAGAAGGAAAAGAAATGTTACAAATATACATATTTATTCTAATAATTACCTATATGATTAAATAGAAGTAGATAAATATAGATTTATTTTATAGTATCTTCTAGAGAAGCTTTTTAGAAGCTTTATTGATGCGGTTTTGGCTTTACACATTTTTGTAGTTAATTGATGGATCAAAAACTTGATCAATAAGTTAACCATGTGTTATACATGTTGGTAGGTTGTAAAATAAGCTAACTATATGGTACACATATAGAAAACTTGTCTTGCAAGTTAAGACATGTATCTAGCAAAGTCAACACTTATTGAAGGTCTTATAGAATATTGTCTTATAACTCATAATTAAATAATATATATGGAGGCAAGAATAAAGCCTTCTTCACTCATATCAATGCTTTTATAATCCTTTTTAGTTTTCTTGTATTTGGTAATAAGCATTCTAGTTTAATATATTACCATCTTTGAGTGATTTCCTAATCTATTTGAGTGAAATAAGAGTATACTGAGGATTTCTTTCTTTGAGATTCATATCTTTGATACTATTATGAGAATAACAAAAATGAACAAAACTTGCCCAATTGTGACTTAATCATAAGTGATGTAAACAAAGTGTAGCTATGTATAAGAGGATCATAAGTAGATGTTGAGATTAAAAATGGTTTCTTAATTAATTATGAATAGGAGAATGTCTTATGTATCAAGATGATAAAGCCTCCAACTATGTGCAGCATTACTTTGGTATCAAAAAATATTTCTTTTGGAGGCTTTGTCCATATAGATCTCTATAGAGTCACTACTTTTTAAGCTTTCTTGCTAATTGGTCAATAGAACCATTGTAGAAGAAACTATTTTCTCTTTGATTTTTTTGCAATTATTTCAAGTATTAATTAAAGTATAGTATTAATATATATATATATATATATATATATATAATATTATTATATATATATTCAATAAAAATATTTATAAAAAAGATGTATCAAATTATTGTAAGCAAAATTTTTAAATGGCAAAAAAATTGTTGAATTACCTTGATGATAGTTAATAGTACACCTCAAATGTTGCTCTAGAACTTAATTCACCTATTTTATTTGCCTATTAGTTTGAGTATGAAAAGCCAAAGAAAGCTTTATATCCACTTTTAAAATCTTAAAAAAGATTTTTTAAAATCTTGATACAAATTGAATCCTCATATTTGATATAATAGTTTTGGACAATCTATAATAGCAATAGATGTTATCAATGAAAAGCTTAGCCATTTTTCTACTTGTGATAGATTTTATACATGGTATAAAATGTGCCATCTTGATAAAATAATTTGCTATCATAAGTGTAAAATCATATAAATTTGAAATTAAGAGATTTATAATAAAATCCATAGAAACAAAAGACTATAGTTGTTTCAGGGTAGGTAATGGCTAAAAAAGTCTATAAAGTTAATAACAAGGAGTTTTGGATCTTGAAAAAATATCACATGATTGTAAAAATTCTTTGATTGCCTTTCACATTTGAAGCCTTTTAAAAATCTTTAGATATTAGCTTTAAAGTCTTGTTATATCTAAAATGCCCAGCTACTTAAAAGACATGATGAGCTTGAAAATTATATAATCATACTTTGCTTTCTAAAATGTATAATTATCTTTTACAATGGAATAGATTATTTTTGAACTCAAACTTAAAAGTATCATAAGACTTGGAAGAATTATTTTTGATATCATAAATAAAAAAATCAAAGAACATATTTGATTCAGGTTGCTTGAAAAAGGTTGAATCAACAATTAATATTGATTTTATTTCTCAAAGATAAAAATGCTCTAACTTCAGAAGTAATATTTTTTATTGATAAAAAAATTGCATCTCTTTCTTTTGATGCACGATATGAACATCTAAAAGGACCATTTGATAAATTTTGTTGTTTTTTGAGTTGATAAGAGATCTAAAAATCAAATTTTACTAAGGATATACTCCAATGGACTTGGCAACAATTCAAAATGCATGTTGACATAAAATACTCGAGGTTTTTGTGATCCACATATACGGTGATTGGATTATAGGCGCCTTCTAGATAATGATATCATTCTTGAAATGATTCCACAATTACAAGAAGTTATTTGTCATGGATCTTGTAATTAATCTTGGTTCCTGAAAATTTGTTAGAATAAAAAGCTTTTAGATAGAGCTTGTCATTTTCTCCTATTTGTGACAAAACAACACCAATAGAAAAAATTGATGTATTTTTTTCCATGAAAAATACCTTAATAAAGTCAACATGTTACAAGATTGGAACACAAATAAATGTTGTCTTCAAGGCTTCAAAAGATGGTTTAACTTTTGTATTTCACTCAAGTTTGTCTTTATATATCTAGCCTGAAAGCAAAGCTGCAACTTAAAAAAAGTTCTTGATAAAAATTTCAAAATAATTTGTAAATTTTAAAAAACATTATACATCTCTAATTATTTTTGAAATCTTTCAATCAATGATAGTTTGGACCTTCTTAAGGTCTATTATAAGACCATTGTTTGAAATGATATATCCTAAGAAGTCAACTTAAATAGTATAAAATATACACTTTTTCATCTTTACATATAATCTTATATCTCTAAGTTTTTGTAACACACAACAAACATGAAGTTCATATTTTCTTATATTTTTAGTATAGATTATAATATCATTTAAATAACAAATAATAAAATTATTAAGAAACTCGTGAAAAACATCATTTATGACATGTTGAAAAGCATCTGGTGCATTCATGAGTCTAAAAGGCATGACATTATATTCAAAATATTTATACTTAGTTTGAAAAGTTGTCTTTTATTCGTCTCCTTCTTTAATGTAGAGAAGATTATATCCTCCTAATATATCTATTTTTGTGTAGATCTTTAATTGATTGAATTGGTCAAGAAGTCTTAAAATTAAAAGTAAGAAATATCTATTATTGATAGCAATCTTATTAAGACTTTGATAGTCTATACACATCCATAGAGATCTATCATTTTTCTTCACAAATAAGTTAGAAACTCCTACTAGAGATTTTGAAGGACATATGAAGTTCTTAGCTAAGTTCTCATCAATGTACTCTTCAAGTGCATCGAATTCATTTTGTAATAAGCTATAGATCCATCCAAATAGTAGTTGAACTTCTTCTTGCAAATAAATTGAGTAATCATAAGATCAATGCTTTAGAGGAATATTAATATTTTTTTTCATAAATATCTTAAAAATCTTGATACTGGCTAAGAATACTACTTGATGTCTTTCTACCATCAAAAATAGATATAGCATATACAACAAAAGATAATCCTTCTTTTGTCACATATATAAAAACTCTTGCATCTATCAGTAAGGATTTTGATATACTAGACTTATGTATTTCTACTTAACTAACAAAATTTTGGATCAAACTATAAAAAAAATTAAATTATAAAAAATCCAATTTATTTGAAGGTTATAATTTATTAACTATAATAATTCTAAAATAACTAGA